TGGAGAGCCACTGTAATCCAAAAATGTTTTAAGAAGAGTCAAGGTGATATTTATAAATAAATATTTGATAAACTTCGGTAAATGAATATTTTAGGATATAGATGTTTAACAAATGATAAATACAGCATTATTTTTCCAGCTAATTTTTCCATGTTGACTTATTTTTATTTTTGTCTCAAGGCAATCATATGGCCTAAAATTACAGGGTGAGAATAGGAACTTGAAAATTAAATCTTTCTGTTGCAGATATGTTTTGTATACAACTTTTGCCAGTTATGTTTAAAGCTGCTAAGTCTCTGAAAGTTTTCGTCTGAGAAAGATGTGTCTTCTAAGCTATTGACATGGCCTTATTGATATCCAGTTACACTGAGCAGGAATCATACCATTCTTTTTTTTTGTCTGTGAGAGCAGATGACTTATGTGGCTTTAAGTTATATGTTACCCCTACTTCCCTTTGAAATATTTACTCATTTGATTTCTACTTTGAGGACTTTTTTCAAATGAAGGAATTTTGCTTCCATTCTATACAAATTTATCTGACATACTACATTCTAAATATATAAATAGTTTTAAAGCTGTGAGTATAGCAGTGGCTTCTTTGGCATGCAGTTATCTGGATGATAAATAAAGGTACGTTTATCTGAAACCTAAACCATAAGCTAAGTAGAATTTTAGAAATGCCATTATTATAGGACTTGTCAGAATGTTCCATTAAAAAATAAACCCAGGACATTGGCATTTGGTCTTTTTCTTAAGTTAAGGGGCTTGGTTTGTCAGTTGTAGAAATCTGTTTTGCAGCTTAAAAAAATTTACATTGCTACCTATTGAATTCAGTTTACTTCAAAATATATTATTTTTTATTTTAAAAATATACTGTTTAGTTCTCCATAAGGAATAATTGCAAAAACTAGTTTTTCAATTAAATCTTTGGTGAGTTTATATATTTTTGCTTAAATTGTTGTCACTAGTAATTTCTGAGCTAGTACTTTTCATGACTAGCCCAAGTACAGTTGACGCTTGAACAACATGGGTTTGAACTGTGCAGGTCCACATACAGGTGGATTTTTTTCAGTAGTAAATACTATAGTATTACAGGATTCATGGTTGGTTGAATCCATGAATGCAGAACTGCAGATATGGAGGAATCACCTATACAGAGAACTGCCTGTAGGTTATACATTTTCCACTGCACAGAGGGTTGGCGTCCCTATGCCCGTGTCGTTCAAGGGTCAACTCTATTTGAGTTTTGACTTGTATTTACTTAGTTTTAGATATAGCTAAATTTCTTCTCTGTGAAGATGATGTGTGGGGCATTCATTGTTGGAAACTAAAATTTTTGCATTGAGTTAAACATTTATTGAGTAAATAGGTTTTTTTTATGTGATGTCAGTATATGACTTGGTCTTCTTTTAAAATTGGTTTTGTTGAGATATAATCAGCTCAATAGGTGTAACTTACATTAAAATTTAATAATTTTAAGTGTTCAGTTTGATGAATTTTGAAAACAACTTTATTGAGGTATAATTTACATTCCATAAAATTCACGTGTTTTACAGGTACAGTTTGAGTTTCATTAAATTTATATCGTGTAGATATCACTGAAATCTAGTTTCATTACACTTCCATCCCATAAAAAAATTCCCTTGTCTCTTATAGCTAGTTTCTGCTCCCGTCCACAGCTCCAGGAAACCACCAAACCGCTTTCTCTAGCAGCACTAATTTTGCCTTTCCTAGAAATTTCATTACAAATGGAAATCATACAGTATGTACTCCTGTGTCTGGCATTATGTTTTTGAGGCCACGCATGTTGTTGCATATATCAGTAGTTCGTTCTTTTTTATTACTGAATAGTATTCTGTTTTTTTATTTATCCATTCACCAGCTGAAGGACATTTGGATAGTGTCCAATTTTAAGCTATCATTATTAATAATGCTTCTATGAATGTTCCATATAAACCTTTGTGTTTTTTTACAAATAAAAATATGTATTTCTCATGGAATCAGTGGGTTATATCATAAGTGTATGTTTAACTTTTTAAGAACCTGTCAAACTGACTACCATTTCATGTTCTCACCTGTATTAGGGTTTCAGTTTCTCCACATCCTCTCCAAAGCTTAGTATTGTCAGTCTTTTAAATTTTAGCCATTTTACTGTGTTTGTAATGGTATTTCATTGTGTTTTTTTAACAGCTTTATTGAGTTATAATTCACATACCATGTACAATTCATCCATTTCAAGTGTACAATTCAGTAACTTTTAGTATATTCAGAACTGTGCGACCATTACCACAATCAATTTTAGAGTCTGTTCATCACCCCTCAAAAGAAACGTGTAGCCCCCTTAGCCATAATCCCCCCACCCCACCCCATCAGCCTAAGGCAATCACTAATTTACTTTTTGTCTCTCTAGATTTGCCTATTCTGGATATTTCATAACTGGAATTATACAGTATGTGGTCCTTTGTGACTGGCTTCTTTCAATTCTGTTTTTAAAGTTCATCGATGTAGCATGTATCAGTACTTTCTTTTAATTGCCCAATAATATTTTATTTTGGATATACAACATTTTATTTATCGGTTGATGGACATTTGGATTTTTTCCCCCCACTTTTTATATTAATAATGCTGCTGTAAACATTTTTGTACAAGGTTTTTGTTTGGACATATATTTCATTTCTCTTGGTTGTATACCTAGGAGTGGAGTTACTCTGTGTTTAGCCTTTTGAGGAATTGCCAGACTATTTTACAGTGTGGCTGCACCATTTGACATTCCCAACAGAAGTGTATGAGAGTTTCAGTTTCTCCATATCCTCATCAGCACTTGTCTTTTTTTTTTTTTTTTTTTCTTGCGTTATGCGGGCCTCTCACTGTCGTGGCCTCTCCCATTTGCGGAGCACAGGCTCCGGACGCGCAGGCTCAGTGGCCATGGCTCACGGGCCCAGCCGCTCCGCGGCATGTGGGATCTTCCCGAAACGGGGCACGAACCCGCGTCTCCTGCATCGGCAGGCGGACTCTCAAGCACTGCGCCACCAGGGAAGCCCAGCACTTGTCTTTTTGATTCTAGCCATCCTAGTGGGTGTTGTGGTGTCTCATGGTTTTGATTTGCTTTTCTCTGATGGCTAATAATGTTAAATATCTTTTTATGCACCTATTTAATAAAGCCATTTGTATATTTTCTTTGGAGAACGGTCTATTCAGGTCCTCTTCCCACTTTAAAATCAGACTATTTGTCTTTTTATTATAGAGTTGTAAGTGTTTGTTACATATTCTACACATAAGTCCCCCATCAGATAAATGATTTGCAAACATTTTCTCCCATTGTGTGCATTGCCTCTTCACTTTCTGGGTGGTGCCCTTTGAAGCACAAGGTTTTAAGTTTTGATCATGTCTAATTTATTTTTTTTCCTTTTGTTGCTTGTGCTTTTGATGTCCTGTCTTAAGAAACCATTGCATAATCAAAGGTCATGAAGATTTAGTTATGCCTGTGTTTTCTTCTAAGAGTTTTATAGAATTCTTACATGTGTGTTTTTTATTCATTTTGAGTTAATTTTTGTATATGGTGTGAGGTAAGAGTGCAACCTAATTCTTTTTGCATGTGGATGTCTGGATATCTAGTTGTCCTGGCACCATTTAATAAGAGACTGTTTTTTTCCCATTTAATTGTCTTGGCACCCTTGTTGATAATCAATTGCCTGTAAATGTTAGAGTTTATTTCTGGTCTCTTAATTCTATTCCACAGATTTCTGTCTATCCTTATGCCGGTATCTCATTGTGGTTTTAATTAGCATTTTCCCTAATGATTAATGGTATTGAATATCTTTCCAAATGTTTATTTTTTGCCATTTGTATATCTTTGGTGGTCAAATTTCTTGCCTCTTTTTAACAATTGTATTATTTGACTTTCTGAGTTATAAGAGTATTTATAGTGAATATAAGTATTTTGCAAATATTTCTCCCTTTTTATAGCTTGCCTTTTCGTTTTCTTAACAGTATCTTTTAGTGGCATATTCTGGGGTTACTGTTCTGCCACTTTTTCAGTGGATCCTAAAAACCTTGTGGTATCAACAGATCTTTGCAACTGATTGGGTAATAAGGCTTGAGGAGGATCTTGGAGATAGTGCTGTAGTTAACAAGAGTAGGGAAGAAGGTCAGGTCAGTCTGGGATATACTGAAATTGAGATTCTGGTGACATCCAGAAAGTAAAAATGTACTTTCTGTTCCCTCAATCTGTAACCCTTTATTTCTGGATCTTCCCACAACTGACTTTTTTTTTTTTATCATTCAAGTCTCAGCTTAATTATCATCTCCTAAAATAGGCCTTCCCTGACCATCTTATCTAATGTTGCCCCTTCCAAACATCACTGTCTATTGTATAACCCTGTTTTACTTTCTTTATAATTCTTTCTCTGAATTCATCTTATTGTGTATTTGCTTTTTATTATCTTTTACCCTATCAGAATGTAATCTCCCATTAGGACAGGATCCTCTTCTATCTTGGTCTCCAATGTAGCATCAACATTCCCCCCTCTGAATTAACTGTGGTTCTTGTCTGTCATATTCTTTTTGAATCTTTTTGGATCCTAAACTTCTCATTTTCTTGACTTTATGAAACTATTTATAAGGTTTAAAATGGATCCAGAAGTTGTAGTTAAAACAAAGAAAAAAAACCAAAAACTGCATTTTTGTTTGAGCCTAACCTAGAGATAAAAAAAAAGTCATTAAAAATCATCTACAGAAGGGTCTTGTGCTTTTTTTAAAAGCTTTTAAACCAGTTATGTTTACCTCTTTCTTATCATTGACTTGAGGTAATTTATATTAATTTTAATTGATGTTCATTAGAGATGGATGTTTGTACATTTTTATTACTTTATACTGAGAAATCCTAGTCATCTGAAAACAGAATTGGATATCATATTGAATTAACTTTTCTCTGCCATTCCCTCCCTCTAAAAGACACTACAGGCTTTTACACTTGATTAATTGTCTCTTTTCTGTTTTTCAGAGTAAGAAAGTTAGTCTGAGTTCTGTGAAAAAATCAGAGAAGAACTAAGGATAGTAGACAAGGACTTTCCAATTTGCATAATGTAAGTTCTTTTCACTATTCTTGGCCTGAATTTTGTGTTAGCTGACAAAGCTGTTTCTATGGAAACAAATAGTGCAACTTCTTAGAATGTCAGAGGAATGCTGATCACTTAAAATGAGACTTCCCAGCTGCTGGTCAAAGGGCATTACTCCTGGGAGAAGGGGAGGAAGGATGAATTGAAAAAAAAAAGCTAGAGTTCTAAATGCTAGTGTAGACCGACTGTGTTTATTCATATGAAGTATATGTTTTACATATCCCTTTGCCTAAAAGTTAGGATACTGATTATATAGAAACTGGTCTTCCTGCTAACAGTTCATGTTTATCAGCTCTCAAACAAATGGTTTTGTTTCTTGGTGTGGAGTTTTCAGTGGGCCTATATCCCTCAGGCTATTTCAGGCCCCCCAGTCTCAATCATTTGTACTTATTGAAGCTTATTTAGCTTCTTTTTACCCCCTTCTTCTATATTCAGTTCACATAAGCAGAGCCCTTTCTCTCCACTAGTTCAAAGTTAACATTGAAATAGCTTTGGCCTAAGAGCCTGAAAATTCATTTTCTTCTTTTGTGGAATGTGTAAAGAGTTTTGCTTTGTTTTTAAAATTTGTCTTTCTTTTTTTTTTTTCCATGGGGGTGTGGGTATAAGCTGGGACTTTGATTAGGATTTGAAATGTGGGCCTTTGAGGCATTTTTATTTATTTATTTATTTATTTATTTATTTATTTATTTATTTTGCACTACACGGGCCTCTCACTATTGTGGCCTCTCCCGTTGCGGAGCACAGGCTCCAGACGCGCAGGCTCAGCGGCCATGGCTCATCGGCCTGGCCGCTCTGCGGCATGTGGGATCTTCCCGGGCTGGGGCACGAACCCGTGTCCCCTGCATCAGCAGGTGGACTCTCAACCACTGCACCACCAGGGAAGCCCTGAGGCATTTTTAAAACAATTTATTTATAATTAGAGGATTGAGATGAGAGGAATACTCTTAGGGCCAGCAGCTTGTAACTACATTATCTGCATAAGTCAGTCTTTCATTTACATATAAGGAGGTAATTCTCTAGTTCAGTCATTTACCAGCCTCCAAATTGTCAAACAAACGACTGTAGGGTTCCCCCGCCCACCCCCCCC